CCTCTGTGGGCCGCCTGGCCCAGAGCTCCGGCACCCGCACAGCCAAGAAGTTTCTCCTCATGCGGAGGTGAACCTTCCTCTGTTCTAACTTAAACCCATTATTTCTTGTTCTATTGCTGGGCACCACTGAGAAGAGATTGTCCCCTTCCCCTTGACCCCCGCCCCTCAGACATTTCTATACGTTAATAAATCCCCTCTCAGCCGTCTCCTTTCCAGGCTGAACAGCCCCAGCTCTCTCAGCCTCTCTTCACAGGAGAGGTGTTCAAGCCCCGTGTTAGGGACAGGCTGCGCTTGGGACACCCCCAACCCAGGGCGTGCAACATCACACTCTGGGCAAAGACCGGAGTGACAAACCGAGGGTACCTCCCCGCTGGGGCTGGTTTTTTCACCTCCGGGCTCTAAGCTTACCTGTCACCGTGCGCTCCCATGAGCATCCTTCGCATCCTTCACCCTTCCACATCCTTCACCCAAGCTGATCGCAGCGAGGATCAGCTTTAGCAGGCAGCACCGCGTCCCTGCTGACTCTCCCCCACCACCACCCCTCGGAAGGGATGTTCACAGCTGCTCTAGCAATGTTTGCTGCCCGCAGCCCCCGATTTGGCTGGTTATGCAGGACATGGTGGCAGCTCCCAAGCTGCTGGAGCTCATCCCAGCCTGGAGAGGCAGTGCAAGCTGATCGCAGCGAGGATCAGCTTTAGCAGGCAGCACCGCGTCCCTGCTGACTCTCCCCCACCACCACCCCTCGGAAGGGATGTTCACAGCTGCTCTAGCAATGTTTGCTGCCCGCAGCCCCCGATTTGGCTGGTTATGCAGGACATGGTGGCAGCTCCCAAGCTGCTGGAGCTCATCCCAGCCTGGAGAGGCAGTGGGGTTTTTTTTGCAAGCACCCAGATGTGCCTGCGGGCAGCAGCCAGCTCCAGAGCATCTCTCTGCCTGGAACCACCTTGGTGGAGAAGACAAATCCTCTGGGATCTCAGACTTGAAGCTGATGACCTTTCATGTTCCCAGAAATAGCAATTCCACCAAAGTGGGGCAGAAGCAGACAGAGCAGAGGAAACATCTCCCAGAAAGGACTGGGCTTCAGGACAATGTTGCTTTCAGAGTTTCCCCACAAACCTCAAGGCTGAGCCCTAAGCACCCAAAGCATTGTTATGACACTGACAAACAGCGTGGCTTTAACCTGCTCCCCAGGAGGTGAGATGCCTTGGGGAAAGTCACTCCTTTCCACTCTCCTTCCATCTGCTTTCCACGGGCGAGCATCTCCTGCTGCCTTCAGCTGCAGCCATGGGGACCATTCAATGAGCATCTTCCATCAACCCCACCCACCACCTCATCCCAGCTTCTGCAACGTGCTCGGCAGCAGGCATCACCTCGCAGCATCCCTCCAACCTGTCAGCCCACCCTGCCAAGCCACTCTACCTTTATCCTGTCAATATTTGCCTCCATCTTCAGCTGCTCCACCAGCTTTCGGGCTTGCGCTATGCTAGCAGTGTTGTTGCTAGCCATGGGTGGGCCAGGTGCACTCTCCGGATGGGCTGCGGGTACAAACACATGCGGGGTGAACACTTGGAATGAGCAGAGAGCCCTAAAATCCCCCAAACGATGAGCCGAGAGGTGCGGAGCTGGTAGAGCCGAGCCATGCGAATGAGGGTGTGAGGATGGGAGGTGCAGACCCAGGAATTTCAGCCGCGTTTAATCCTGTGTTTATAGAAAGGCAGCGAGCCGCCAGCCTTTGTGGGGATGTGGGTAGTCACACGCTGCCAGCGGTACCCTCCTGCGCCCTCCTCATCGTCCCCGGAGAGGGGGCTGCCCTATGAGCCACACTTAGGGGACACTGGGGACCTTCTAGAGCACAGCCTGCAGCAGCAGGATCCCAGTTGAGCTGTACTTTGGCTTTTGCCGGTACAGGCAAGGCTGTTGTGGCACCAAGGCAAAAGGAAATCAGAGAATGAGCTCTCCACCCCGAGCTGCCTTGCCAGGCTCCCCTGCACATCACCCAGCCCTGTCCAGTGTCCCTTGGCCTCCTTTGCTTTGTCTCCACTGCCAACTTGAACACTGAGATGCCAAACAGGATGCTGGAGTTTCCTGTTTCTTGAGATTTCTACCCCCAGACAGGCAGAGGACGCTCATTAAGTCCACACCACCTCTCTCGATCACGGATGTTTTTCTGTTACCTTAGAACAGCCACGAGCTCCAGCCAGAAACCCGGCATTCAGCTGCTTCAGCAGCTGATGCCTTCACAAGTATTTTACAGCTGAGGCATAGGCCTGTGAGTTTAAAAACATTTTTTTGGGGGAGGGGAGATTTCCTGCAATAGCAGGGTGCTGCAAGGCCCCTACCAGCTGCTTAGGTCATGGGGCAAAGATGGCACAGATGGAAAATACGAGGCTTGGGGCATTTAAGGGAGGACACAGAAAAGCTGTGGGTATGGTCACCCCAAACCCATCTTGGGGGATATAATGGTGTTTGGATAGAGGCTTATCCTGGAACCTATCAAAAAAACCAACCTGTCACCCAGCTCCCCTTCCCACCCCTTCCCTGTTGGGGAGCACGAAGAGGATTTATTTTTTACCAGAAGCAGGTCTCTCCAGCAATTTTATATCTCTAGGGGATGATCTGCTGGGCTTGGCTGTTCGCTACCTTTAAATAAAGAGAACATTAAAAAAAAAAGAGCCAAGTTAGGTGGCTGTGATGCCAGCCAATGCAATGAGAATGTTATTTACGGCACCAGGAAACCCAGAGCCCTTGCAGATGCCGAGTCTTGTACCTGCTGGGGAAGGCAGAAAGGCTGCGGGTTTCCTTCTGTATCTCCCCCCCTCCCCGGCTCCTAGCACGGCCCCCAGAGGCATTATTTGTTTGCATTCAGTGAGGTTTTCAGCACAGGAAGAGGTTTCAAGTCAGCGGGCAACCATCCGAGGGCTGTTGGCAGCCGATCTTTGAGCTGCTCCCCCAGCATCCGAGCGTGCTGTGGGATGCATCTCGGCGAGACGGGATGCGATTTAACCATCTGGTGCACAGAGCACAGAGAGGGGTGGAAAGAGCATCCCCCTGGGGAAGGCTGCCCAAATCATCCCTGCTTCACCACAGCCTGGCTCCCACCGAGCATCCCCGACAGCCCAAACTCCCGCCAGGGTTCTGCCCTTGGCAAGCAAAGCTCCGCGATCAAGGTTGGAGGATTAGCTCAAGTATTTGTGCAGGTTCCACACTGTTTTTTCTCAGCAGTCCCCCCGCCCCTTGTGTTTTTAACTGGATGCCCCTCTCCCGCTTTTGCTTTCAGTTCTCCCTGCAAAGACACAAAGTGCCACCACGTTTCTGTTGTGGCAGCCCGTGCCGGTCTGATGGGAAAGCCAGTGGCCATAGAGGTTCACCAAGGTATACATCAACTAAGTCACTGTTGCGACTCTAATCCAGCAAACGTCATTCTTGGTGATTTCATACAAAGGACCGTGGGCTGTGGTTGCTCTGGTGGCAGGGAATCATTTTGGGAGTGAAGTTTAATGCCATGGAAGGAAGCATGGGAGCAGGGAGAGCTGAGCTTCTGTACAGCTGCATATATTTTAAAAAAAAGTGTGTCTCCAACCCTGCTACCACCCTCATGCAAGGAAACCCTCCCATGTGCCTCCTCCATCTAGCCCTTGATGTGGAAAAGACAGCCCCAAAACCCAAGTCTGAAGAAGACAGAGACCCTGCTGGGACACAGAAGGGGGCATCTGTGTGACCACTCTGCTGTGCAGCAGGACAATGCCAGGGACCTGGGGACAGCTCAGCCAGCTCGTGTCACCAGGACCCAGCCACTTTCCCGGGCCACACTCAGTTCCTCTGTGGATACCTCACAGAGGAATTTGACCTGGTTTGGGGCCAGCGACAGCTTTAGAGCCGGGGAATATTTTTAGACCAAGGTAGTGGGGCCACCAAAAAGCCTCCTTGCCTTTTCCTTTGGATTTGATTTAAACCGAGCCGAGCTCCGAGACCATCCTCCTGCCCCTTAATCCCAGCACTTCTTTACTCCTAATCGCAACCAACAAAACCTGCGGCTTTCTTCCAAGAGCGACACTGCCCCGCACCACAGCAATACACGTATTTATTTCTCTTCCCCAGGACCCAAGAAGGGCTCCGTCATGCAGAAGGGACACGTGCTGGCACTCCGATTTACCTATAGGTCCCCTCTGGCTGGCAGAGCTCAGCTCCTGACACTTACCATCAAAATCCCACCCCTAAAGCTAAAAATCCCAATATTTCCTGATCCTCCCTGTTGTCACAGAGCCGTTCCCACCCTCAATGCTGTTGTGCCCAACTTTGCCTGCGAAGGGTTTAATGACACTCAAAAGGGAATAGGGACAGTGTCTTATTTCACCCACCTAATGGCTCGTGTGCCTGGGTAATAGGATTCCTGTCTCGGGACCCACAGGTTAATGAGTGAGGATGCGATTTTATTTTCAGGCTAATGATGTTTAGCGTGTACAGTACACTGATATATCATCTCTTTTGGGCTCTGCACGGTAATTACAACTCAGGACCTCGCCAGGTTGTTTTGGTACTTGTCTGTCGTGCGGAGGAGTCGCGGGTTATTTACTGCATGTGGCAAGAAGTTGAATTCACTTGAAGGGATGCAAAAGTGCTTGCAATAAAAGTCTGGACTCAAAAATTTTGCTGCTGATTTTTGCTAGCTGGTACCTCTGTTCAAAAAACCCCACTTAATTTGTTGTTGACTGTTTAAGGAGAAACAACTGATAGTCAAATGACATTTTCTTCTTTCACCACCCAAACCCGGCATCAAAAATTGAGATTTAGTTGGGAGAACGGTGAGGGACGCCCCTGACATTGGGGCACCAATCCAGCATTTACGGCTGGCTCTGCTCTTAGTCTGCTCACTCTTGCTTTGCCGAAAACTTCACCTTCTACCCATGACGTGGTGTAACAAAACGTGGCCTGTGAGCTGCCCACCGCGAGCCCAAAGGGGTTAGGACCAGCTTTAATTTCCTCTGCATTAAAAGCCACCGTTGCTTTGGACCAACCGCTCCTTCCTTCATCCCTGTAAGCTAATCACATCTACCTTGCTTTCTGGATGCATTTCATCCTCGCAGCACACTTATGGATCCTTAAATATTATTTGGATGCAGGGCAGAGTGCTGGCACTGCCCTGAGAGAGCTGAAAAGGAGGCGCTGACCCCCATCCCTCCTGCCAGCACGCTAGAGATTCATTAAAGTCAGCAGCAAATTAATTTGCCAAATTGCCTGCTGCTCCCCATCCAGCTCGATGATCTACGGGCGCTGCCACTGGGCACGAGCTGCTTTGCCACGACCGCGACCAAGGCAAAACCACTGCAAACAGCCCAAAAAAGCCACAGTGAAGTGAGGATTTCTTGATGTTGGAGCAATCGAACTGTCCTCGCAAAGCTCCCAAACAGGGCTCCTATGCTGTTCTGGCATCCTGTAGCTGCCAGCCCTGCTTGCAAGAGTAATTAGCTGTCGTTTGCCAGCTCCTCATCAGCATGGGCTGCTGCCTGCTTTGCGCGGAGCTGTGCCGAAAGGCTGCGAAGCCCTTGGATTCCTAGCCTCCGTGCACCTTGTACCAGCGCCATCATCAGCTCTGAACATCCAAAAACCGAGCAAAACCTCCCCTCTAGCTTTTTTTGCTACCTTTCTCTTTGGTTTTATCACTGGTTGCATGTGGGTGGAGATGGGAATTCTCCTAAACGTTTAAAAAAATGGCATTTTAAGGGTGATTATTTAGCCCAATTACCTTCAACAGACAGCTACCATTACAGAAGGGGTATCTGAAAGCATATTTTGCACCGGGTTGGGGCAGCACTAACCCTGGCTGGGGCACTGTCACCGTCACAAAGCATTTTTTTTTTTTTACATTTTTGAAGGTGCCATTGAGTAAGATTTTACAGGTGTCACGAGACACCTCCCGCACCTCGAGGGGTCTCCAGCCTTTGCCCACTCAGCTACAATCTGCTGCGGTTTTAAACCTGTGCCAGATTTTCTGGTTTTTTTTCCACCTTCTGATGTTCTTTTATTTTACTTCAGTTTACTCCCCACACTGAACTGAAAGGAAAAGTGGCAGCTCTGCAGGAAAGAAACTAAAAGCGCCGACATCTACCAGGGCCAAACCTCGCCGTTCCTCCACTGAAAGCAGCAGCTCCCCAAAGCACCACAGGGCATCACCCACCACCGAGACCAACTCATTTTCCGAGTGAAGGCAGGAACCTCCCTGCTTCTTGGTTTTAGTTCAAAAATCATGCACCGACGTACCCACTGAGTGGGTATTTTCCACCCTGTTAGTAGCAAAGTGCATGAACCCTGGTCGGACAGGCAGGATTTTGGAGTGCTCAGTGTTGTTCCTACCAGGCAGGTTTTATTCTTTTTTGGTCCAAATAAGGGTGTCAGGATGAGTACTGTAGTGCAGGGATTTGTTCCAGCTCTCATTCATGCTCCTGGTCTCGGCACATCCCGGTGGCTGAGGCCAGCCCAGCTCATTGCACCGCAGGCAGAGAGGGTCA